GACTTGTACTTAGGACATGACAAACATAAAACCAACTGAACCGATATGTTAATTTATTCTTTTTGGACGGCTACAAACCAAGAGAGCATAATTAGAAAGGAAAACTGGATCATTACGTTTAATCACTGGCTCCATATTCATTTCGTGCGTATAATTCTTTGTTAATTAGGAGATAATAACTTCAGAAAGATGAGAGATTGACTAGTTACTTATTTACTAATAGCAATGATATTCATTAGCTTCCTTGTTAATGAAGTTTTTTTTAAAAAAAATTTATTCAAAGTTGGGAGTCACTTGAATTGTGTAGAGATTCGATTACCATGAAATATCGTACCCTTATCACGTGTCATCAAACGGTTTGTGCAGAATTTCTTTTTCTCGATTCAAGGTGGGCCTTATCAAAATGGTAAAACTGAAGAAGCATGAGCCATGCTATTTTTTATTTTTTTTTGCCATGCTTAATGAATGAATTTTCGGCGATCCTTTCCAGAAATTAGACATGTTAGGGCGCGAATGGTAACCATTCTGCTCTAGAAATTAAATTCTTGCAAGAAATTGATTTCCGGAATTCTTGTCAGAAATTGATTTTTAGAGGAGAAATCTGTTTGATAAAACATGACTAATTCTGCTCCAGAAATTGATTTCTGGAACAGAAATCCATTTTTATTTTTTTGAGCTCCTAAAAAAAATAAATTTCACTCAAAGTGGGTGCCCAAAGGTATTCTGAGCCATTTTGTGAAGTTTTGAAATTTTTGATTTTTTTATTTTTTTGGGCACCTCAAAAAAATTAAATTTCACTCAAAGTGGGTGCCCAAAGGTATTATTAGCTATTTTGTGAAGTTTTGAAATTTTTGATTTTTTGATTTTTTTTGGCATATCAAAAAAATTAAATTTTACTCAAAGTGGGTGCCCAAAGGTATTCTGAGCTATTTTGTGAAGTTTTGAAATTTTTGATTTTTTTATATTTTTTGAAAAAAATTCACTAAATTTCCTATTTTCTCGAAATCTGACTTTTTTTTTTATTTTCTGGAAATTTTTATGAATTTTTCTGGAATTTTCAATTTTTATGCATTTTCTGAAAAAAAAATTAGTGAGAAAAAGAGAGAAAATAGGGAGAATGCATTCTAGAAGAGAGAAGCTACAAAAAGTAACTTCTTTTTTTCTTGCCCAAAACTCATTCTGGAATCAAGAATGCATTCTGAAATCAAGAATGTATTCTGAAATCAAGTATTTTTAACAAGCGCATTTTTATTCCAGAATGCAAAAATTGCTCCAAAATGCATTCCGGAAATTTTTTAACAAACGCATTTCTGTTCCGAAATTCATTCTGGAGCAGAATTTCTACTCCAGAATGGATTCCATGCGCGCCCTTAAGGTCTACTTGGACGCCCTTTACAGACGTGAATCACATCAGTGATTAGATCTCTGACCACTTCCGAATCAATTATTAACAAATCCGCCGTCTCTCAAATTGAAATTTTCTACGCTCTTTTAAGAAAGAGTCTTGGAAGGAAGAAATTGATGAACATTTTTTTCATGGCAAGTGGCACATTTTGTGACCTCAAAGAGCGGTAGCCCATTGATGAAAGGATCGCACACTCTTTTCTTAAAATCACAAGTTCAAGCTATATCGTGAGCAACCTTTGGGTAACTTGTGCCTTTGACATTGGGAAAATTACCAAAAAAGTCTTCAACCTTTTGCAGCTGTGCCAATTCAGTCCTAAACCTTTTTTTTTTGTCAATTCAATCCTAAACCTTTTGCAAACTAGCCAATTCAGTCCTTTTGGCTGACCGGCGCTGACGTGGCCGCTGGCCGGCGTCCACGTGGTAATATTTTTATTATTATTTTCGATTTTTTTTTTCCTTTTCCCCCTGGCCTGTCTAGCCAGGGGGGAGGCTCGTTGGCGAGGGCCCAACTCCGGCAAGGCGAGGCGGAGCTCGCCATGGCAGGGCAAGCTCCGCCTCGCCAGATTTGGGTGAGGGCGGAGCTCGCCCAGCCAAGGCGAGCTCCGCCTCGCCGGAGCTGGGCAAGCTCACCATGGCTGGGCGAGCTCCGCCCTTGCCCAGATTTGGCGAGGCGGAGCTCGCCCTGCCATGGGGAGCTCCGCCTCGCCAGATCTGGCAAGGCGGAGCTCATTGGGCGAGGGCGGAGCTCGCCCAGCCAAGGCGAGCTCCGGCGAGGCGGAGCTCATTGGGCCAGGGCGGAGCTCGCCCAGCCATGGCGAGCTCACCCAGCTCGGGCGAGGCGGAGCTCGCCTTGGCTGGGCAAGCTCCGCCCTCCCGAGATCGGGCGAGCGGAGCTCGCCATGGGCCGGGCAAGGCTCGCCGGATCCGGGCGAGGCGGAGCTCGCCCGGCCATGGCGAGCTCGCCCGGCCGGCGGCGAGGGCCCAGCTCACCTCGCCGGAGCTGGGCCCTCGCCGGCGAGCCTCCCCCCTGGTTGGACAGGCCAGGGGGAGAAGGAAAAGAAAAAAAAAAGGAAAAAAAATTCAAAAATAAAAAAAAATAGTAAAATATTGCCACGTGGACGCCGGCCGGCGGCCACGTTAGCGCCGCCTGGCCAAAAGGACTGAATTAGCTGGTTTGCAAAAGGTTTAGGACCGAATTGGCTAAAAAAAAAGATTTATGACTGAATTGGTACAACTGCAAAAGATTGATGACTTTTTTGGTAATTTTCCCCTTTGACATTCGTTACCACATTTGGAGAGACTTCTTGACTTCTGACACGTTGATGAAGCTATGTCGACGGGCTCGAACACTCACGGTCAAACTGAGTAACTGTGATTCGAATTGAACATTCTATAATGGAGATGACACCATCATGATGACGCCCTCGTAAGTATGTACATTGGTTGCCTATCCTCGGCCCTTTTACCAATAAAAAAAACAATAAAAAAAGGGAGGCATCACGTGATCTCCTGGATGTTAGATCATGTCTTCCATACTTGTTTGCAACATTCCTGTAAACGCCATGCTCTAGCGGTGTAGGATCACCAAACTCATACATTTTCTCCACGGTGAATGAATCTACAGAACGAATATTAAAAAGTTCCATCATCTTTCTCTTGGTCGTCGCATAAGATCGAAGACGAGTTACTAAACCCTAGGGCTGTAAACGGTTCGATTCGGTTCGATTTTCTTGAAAAACCGAACCGAACCGAACCATTAAGGGAGCCCTCTTGATCCGAACCAAAACCCCCTCGAACCGAATTGGAACCAAACCGAAAAATCAATTTGGTTCGGTTTAATTCGGTTTGGTTCGGATCAGTTTTCGGTTCCTTCTTCTTTTTTTGGCTTTTTATTCATCGCCGCCTGGATCGCTCGCTCTCTCCCCTTCCTCCTTCTCCCTGACCAACTTCTCATTCTGCAACTTCAACTTCTCGTTCTGAATGGAAGCGGAGATCGCCTCCGTTCAACCGGTCGGTCACCATGTGCGCGGAGCCCGCGGAAAAGCCCTGTGGCGGTAAGCACTCGTTCGAGTGAGCTGGTTCCGTGCATCTACAGCTCGTTCGAATCGTTCATGACCAGAGGCTTCAGAGTGATGCGCGGAGAAGCGAACACTTGCAAATCAACCACCTAAAATGCACCGAAATTGAATGAGAGAGAGAGAGACCAAAAAGAAGAGCCCGAACCCACAAGTAAGAGCATCGAAGTCACGAGAGCTTCTGCCTAATTCCTTCGCCAGTAGGACAAAAACACAGCCGAGAGACCAAAAAAACACAAGACCCACCAATCAAAATCCGACCGCCGCGCTCGCTACGAACAACAACTCCTCCAGCGGTTCCCAAATTCCAAGACCCACCATCCCCCTTTCCCCCCCCCCCCCCCCAAAATTTCTCACCGCCCTCCCTCCGTTAACCAAAAACCGGAACCGAGAGCCACTCAACAAAAAAGGGCGGAAGCAAGAAGCCGCAAAGACCCAAAAAGCGTCAGATCTAGGGGGGGCTTTCGCGCGACGGGGCGAAACTTACCGAATCGGCAACGAATCCGCGGACCGCCGGGGGGGGGGGGGGGGTGGAGGGGGGGGGGACCGGGTCTGGTCACAGCATCGGGGGCTCCACCCACCCCCGCACCACCCAAGAGAGAGGGGGCGGCCAGCCGGCGAGCCTCCTCCGCCCGGTAGCCTCGTCGCGAGAGGGGCCGAGGGGTCCGGCGAGAAGACGATCGGCTCAAACCCAAGGCTCGGTCTCGCGGACCGGCGGAGGAAAACGCCCGGTTGGGGTCCGTGGTCCCGGCGGGAGCTGCGGCCGGCGGAGGATGCGGCGGCGGTGGCGATGGGGCCGGAGGGGGAAGTCGCGAATTTCAGCGGCGGAGCGGCGAGGAGGAGAGAGAGAGAGGGAGATGCGAGCGCGAGAGAGGGCGACTGAGTGGGCGAGATAGGGCTTTTTAGAGCTAAAACCAAATTGTTTATTTCAGTTCGGTTCGATCAGAACTGATCCGAACCGAACTGAAATAAACCGAATTGAAAAAAAAAATTGGTTAATTTTGGTTATCTGAACCGAAACCGAAATCGAACCGAAATGCATGAAATTTTCGGTTCGGTTCATATCTCGGTTCGGTTTTTCGGTTCGGTTTTGACACCCCTACTAAACCCCGACCAAAGTAAATTTAAGTTAAAAAAAAAAAAAAGAAATAGTGCGAGAGATGGCAATTGCTAGACTTTGCTGCTCATGGCAAACGATGCTGCTAATTGGATGTTTATGAGTCCCAATGGCGCTTCCTCAAGGGCAGATCTATGGCTGCAAATGTCGTGGGGGTTGGGCTTGTTCCTGCCAAAACGGTAATGGGCTTTTCGTTCCGACACGACTTCACGTTTTATACTCCAATTTTTTTTATTTTTTTTATTTTCTTTTATACTCCAATTTTCTTTGACGGATATTATTTTATACTCCGACTTGAAAAGTCCGGAAATTCCGACAATAATAGCCGTTGGGCATTCAGACAATAATAGCCGTTGGGCCGTCGGGCAGATGCCTCCTCCTCCTCTTTTTTCTTACCACATTTCGCAGCGACAGGAACTGGCGCGTCGGTCCACGCGCCGCGGCCCGTCGGCGTCCCCTTCCTCCGCCCGTGCTTCGACCGTCTCGCGGCGGCAGTGCGTCGGACGGAGGGGCGGACGACGACCCGACGGATCTTCCCAGGAGCCCTCGCGGCGGCGATCCTACGTGTCGCCCTCCGATTGGCTCCTACGATCGTTGTCGACGTCGACGACGTACCCATTCTTCTCTGTCAAATTTAAGAACCACTCTTTAACGTAATCCCCTTCTCTCTCTCTCTCTCTCTCTCTCTCTCTACCTCTCGCACATCTCGGAGTGGAGGAAAGAATGACGTTCCTGCAATCCTCCGACCGGAAGCACCGGCGGAGCCCGAGGTCCCCCCTCCTCCCGCAGAAGCACGCCGCCGTTGCCGAGCCGACGGAGGCGGGCTTACGCGGCGCGTCGTTCTCGGGCGCCGTGTTCAACCTCTCCACCACCATCGTCGGCGCCGGGATCATGGCCCTCCCGGCCACGCTGAAGCAGCTGGGCCTGATCCCGGGGCTGGCGATGATACTGCTAGGGGCCGTGCTGACGAACACCTCGATCGACATGATCCTGAAGTTCAGCCGGGCCTCCAAGTCCCCCACCTACGCGGCCGCCGCCGCCGACGCGTACGGCGGGGCCGGCAGGGCCCTGCTGCAGTCCTGCATCGTCGTCAACAACCTCGGGATGCTCGTGGTCTACATGATCATCATAGGTATGGACATCAACCTTCTGCCATATTTTTTCAATTTTCTCGAAAGACTGGATTTTGATTAGGCTTGATCCCGGGATTAACTTAGTCGAATGCCAAATCTTGATTTTTGTTCATGGGTTTATTAGCTTGATAACGTGACGATGAATGGTCCAGATTGAAGTGTTGAGCAGAGAGAGTTTCTGGGTGTTTATTCTTCTTCTAATTATGGATCCGGAGAATTGGCAAGTCGAAAGTTGAATGTTAGGAATGTTTTGGCGATGGCAGGGGACGTGTTATCGGGGACATGGTCAAACTGGGTCCACCACACAGGGGTGATGGAGGAATGGCTTGGTCAACACTGGTGGACCTCACGCGCATTCTTGCTGCTGTCCACCACGCTCCTGGTCTTCGCTCCTCTCATCTCTTTCAAACGAGTTGGTAAAGTCCTTCCTCCGATCTCCTGTCTTCTCATTTTGATTGTAGCTCAAGCCAAAAGTGTGAAATGGTTATGTCGTCTCTGCTCCGAACTCAAATAAACCCGTGCCTCCATTTGGGTTGCATTGAAAGATGTCAAATATGTATTGGTTTCACATAGGGGTGAGCATGGTTCTGGAGTAGATCCGGAATCTGAGAACCAGATAGGTGGGAACCAGTCCGGTTCTAGGTTCTAGGATATGTAAGGTAGATTCCAGATTCCAAAAATCGGGAACCTGTTCCGACGAGCAAGTTAGGTGGAACCTGGAACCTAAAACCTGGAACAAGTCTTTGTGTTTTTCTTGTTCCATACCTTTGCACGATCTTATGGCATTCCATGGCGTCTAATGATGAGTGTGTTAGCTAAAACCACTAGTATGAGTTTGAATTTCTAACGATATTCTTAACTGAGACTTTTAATTTATTAATATTTCATATTATTCGTGTGTCTAAATATGAATTGTGATCAGTGGATTGTAGCAAATGGTGGTCATTAGAGGTGATAATTCACTTCAATCGTTCAATTAAGAGTACAAGTGGAACCTGGGTAGATCTATAACCTGTAACGGGATAGGTTCCGGGTTCGTGAGTATGCAAGGTAGGTTTTAAGTGCCAAAAATTAGGAAACCTATTTAGACGGGTTGGTTCCAGGTTCCACCGCTGAACGAAACCTGGAACTGCTCACCCTTAGGTTCACAAGTCATATATAATTTGCTAATCTGATAACACTGCAAAGCTGAAATGCACATTCAGAAGCTTGGTGAATTGCCACCATGGTATTGCTTTTGTTATAATTCTTGCTGGTGACCTACATTCCACAAAGCTCTCGTGATCATAGTCTCGTGGCTCTTTTGTAAATAGATTCGTTGAGATACACGTCGGCCTTGTCGGTTGGTCTGGCTGTGGTATTTGTTGCAATCACTGCTGGAGTAGCAATCCTTAAGCTGGCGAATGGAAGCATAACGATGCCACATTTGATGCCCGAGCTCGTCGATCAGACATCATTTTGGAAGCTGTTCACAACTTTTCCTGTTCTGGTCACTGCTTATATTTGTCACCATAATGGTAAGCAGTCGAACTCCATCTCTTGTAATCAGTACCTGTACTTAAATGGATAAGTGAACATTGTGTGGCATGAAGCTTTGTGGAAATTAAATGTTGATTCAGAAAGTGCTGTCATAACCAACATGGACGTGGAGTGTGCATTGTTAAAGTAGATGCATACAACTGCATACGAGAAGATTTTGTCACAACATAGTGGGCACATCTCCGACTCTCATACACATCCAGATTGTGCTTGCTAGAATAAGGAGAAAACCGACAACACTGATTCAATCTAGCAAAGTTAATTCTGAGGCTCTGTTGTTGTTGGAGTCATTCAAAGGTGAAAAGTTTGTCCATGAAGAGCAGATTCGTATAAATTGAATAGTCATGATGTGCAATTGTCTTGCAGTTTTCGTGAATGCTTAGAAGGATGCTACCTGCTGGAATTCTTTTGAGATCTTTCATTCTAACATTGCGAGTCAGCTAAATTAAGGCAATTGTTATCCCGTTTATGTCTGATACACTGCATGAATGAGAGGAAACAATGAAGTCGATAGACAAACTCACCGGATGGTCATTACTCAAGGCATGCTGCATCTAGTCCATTTCACGAGTCCTTTTCTTTTTCCCATTGGCTTACAACAATTTGCTTGCACAACTGACATGTGCTGCAGTACACCCAATAGAGAATGAACTGAAAGACCCGATGCAGATGAAGTCAATAGTACGTTCATCACTGACACTATGCTCATCTGTCTACATCGCAACCAGCTTCTTTGGGTTTCTTCTCTTTGGGGATCAGACTCTGGATGATGTTCTTGCAAATTTTGATGGGGATCTAGGAATTCCTTACAGTGTGATGCTCAATGATATAGTGAGAATTAGCTATGGAATCCACCTCATGCTTGTTTTCCCTATTGTGTTTTTCTCACTTCGGCTCAATCTGGACGGCCTCCTTTTTCCCTATGCAAAAATCCCCATCACCTTTGACAACCGGAGATTTTATTCAGTAACAGTAGCGCTAATGGGCTTTATATTTTTGGGAGCGAACTTTGTGCCCAGCATATGGGATGCATTCCAATTTACCGGCGCCACCGCAGCAACCTCTGTCGGGTTCATATTTCCATCTGCAATTGCTCTTAGGTATGTACTATCACTAATGATGAATGCTGAGAGCCCTTCCTTCAAGAAGTCGTGTTATCAGGATATGTCATTGATGAAGTGTATAATCATAGATTCAATAGAGGCTTTGCACGATGCTATAGGATGGCACGAATTTCATGTGGCAAATTTCTGATGGATCATTGCTATTCGTAGTTGGCCTAATCACCTTCATCCTCTGACTTTGTCTTGTCTCCGACTTAAACATCCTGCACCTGTTTTGCAGGGATACTCATGGGATTGCAACCAAGAAAGACAAAGTGGTGTCATGGATCATGATCTTGCTGGCTGTATCATCGAGCACAGTGGCACTCTCGAGCGACGTTTATGGGTTTTTTAGCAGTGACGGTGGAGTTGGAAGCTGACAAAAACTGAGGGGATCGATTCGGCTCTTCTCAAGTGACACTGAACTTCGCTCTCAGACATCGAAATTAACTGATTAACACGGGGACAAGAGGAGGAAGAGGATGCACCCAATAGTTTGATTCAGCTGCCCGAAGAGTGTGACCTTCACCCAATAATTCGCCCGTCCATACTACTTTCACATTCCCTTGCTGTTTTGTGCAGACGAAACAGTGTGACCTCTCTTACCATTCCTAAGGTTGAAGAATGACAATATACTACACAAGTTACACAACACACGTCCAAGATTCAGTCGTTAAAAGATTTAGGGAAAAGACCACCAAAAATTTCAAACTATATCACACGTGACACATTTACCTGAGATCTTTTGTGACACTTAAACCTCAAATCATGCTTATTTGTGACATATTCGCCTGGAAAGGAAAAAAAAAAAAGCAAAAAGCAAAACGAAAATGCCTATGACTAAAGACATTGGGGTAAATATATCACAATAAGATAGTTTGAGGTTTTTGGTGTCACAAAAAAAAGTTCAGGGTAAATGTGTCACAGGTGGCATAGTTTGGGGTTTTTGGTAGTCTTTTTCCAAAGATTTATTTTTGCATATCTTGCTACAGTTCAAGTTTTGTTCTAGTGGAGAGTGTGAATTGAAAGAGACTGGATAGTGGCAACCATGAACTGTGGTCATTGGAACCAGGGCCGAGATGGAGACTTGGGCTTGGATTGTGGTCCGAGAATTCTACTTGTTGGCCCATATACTTTCGCAATTGGGTCGAATTTCAATCCACTTCTTATAATTCAACTGTCTTATGTACCATTTCGTTCCCCTCTCTCTCGCACCTTCATCCCAAAATTTTAGCCCTGATGTCTACCAAACACGAACTAGTTGCAGACCAGGACAAAAACCATGAGCCTAGCTCCACATGGTGCACCATCTAAATATGATTTTCATGCTAAACTAATGCAAAAAAGGGAATCCCTTGTGAACGAGAACCTATAATTACGCACTTAGAACCATCTGGGTGTGTTTCTTAAAGCGCTAATCATTGCAATGAGATCGAGTTGACCATGACACAATTCGATACTTCGAGCATAGAACCTGCTAAAAGGGCGTGAGAGGAAGGGTTACGCCATGTGAGACGACACCAACGTCCGTCAAAGATTAATGTAATCTAATCACCCGGGTGTGTTTTTCTCGCTTTGATGTTTGGTGGCGTTGGAATCTTTGAACTTTCGTGGGGATGTGCACTAGCGAATTAGACAAGCGAAACGTGGCGTATGGATCAAATGCTGAACCTGGACACCAACATGAAAAGTCGCATGAAAGAGAGTCCGTCTTCTGCAACCTAGAAACACCCCCAACAGAAGAGTTACCGACATAAGAAAAGAAACAGAGATGATGGCCGGCATGGCATCAAGCCTCTCCATATACGCACGTTTGCGATTGTATCGCTCCCGCGCTCGGTTCCTCTCGCCAACCGAGAAATAATTCTAGATGAACTTGGACACCGTCTGAATGATGATCCGAAAAACATTTTCTTTTAAAAACGATGACTTGTATCGCTCACAAAAATAGACGAACGGTAAAAAAAATAGACTCGTTCCATGATTGATCCGGGATAGACGTACAGAGTATGTGATCGCGTGTCGCATTTATTTTTTGGAAAATATGATTAGCTATTTTTGGTAAAAACGAGTTTAGAAAAACTAATTAATCAGTACTCATCTGAGCACTTTCGGAAATCAAGAAAACCCTGTTCACAAATTGTTTTTTTTGGTTGGTCTAAAGTCTGTTCACATATGTGCAAAACGGGAAAATCAAAACGTACTTCGTGGGTGCCTACTCTATTATGCAAAAATATAAAAGATAAAAAATCAGAGCACTCTCTCCATGTTCTAATTAACAGTCAAAAGGCACCCAAGAGAATATACCGACTACGATATTTTATAATCTTTTTTTTCAAATCGTCGGAACTGTGCCTTGATTAGTGAAGACTATTGGGGTTTAATTCGTGGTCAATGGGACCCCGTGTCCATTGAAAATCGACCCTTAAACAATCTCTGTGTAAAGCAAAGTTGAAAAAATTATTGCTAGCGGGGGGCTACCGTAGCTCCAGAACAAACCCCAGTTTTTTGTGTTTTTGATTAATCGTATGATTGATGCGTAAGTGGGGCATGAGAGACGTTGTACGACACGTGGTTTTTCTAAGCTGCGATCGACACCCTAGAAGCAAAATGATCATGGGGGAGCTGTCACCCACGTATCTTCCTTCCTTGGTCCATTTGAATGTTTCGTTGAGTGACGCCTTTTCCGAACTTCCTTCAACATCGACTCCATTGACCCTCCGTTTGTTTTTTTTTTTGGTTGTATTTTTCGAAGAAAACTACGCTAGCTAATCACCGGCAAAGAAGACATAACTATAAAATTCAACGGCGCAGTTGGGAAAAGAAGGCTCGAGTCATTTTTCATCATAAGGCGCTATTTCTGCCATCAATTAGTCCTAATATAAGTACAAGAAAGAAATAACAATCCAACCGTCCTTTCGATGAAAATTTCTCCACTTTAGTTTTTTGCATGAATAATCGAACGAGAAAACCGTCGCCTTATAATTCTTTCCGATTTGATTTTGACTGGTGACTGTGTTCTTTTAAATCGGTATATATCGTTTCGCGGATAAAGGATTCGATTTTGACCGATACTACTCTGTGAATTCGATGGATGATGTACGCGCAGCAAATTAAGTTCCTTTTTTGCATTTGATCGAGCTAATGAAGAAAGGAAGATGAGAGGGGGTTCATTAAATATGCGAACACGGGTGACCTGATACTACATTGCATAAGCCATTTCGTTTGCTCTTCGAAAACTCGAGTAATTAGGAAACGAGTCGAACGTCATGTTACTCGACACATCGACTTCGAAGGAGTCAAATACCCGCGACCGTTTAAGAGAGCGAGAGCGAGAGCGACGGACGAGCCGAGTGCCATCCAATGCGATTGAGCCATTATTTGGGGGGTGGGGGCTAGCTGCAACAGATTTCTTGCAGCTGTTTCCGTGGAAACACAGGCAGGGGTTCGTGTATCAAGACATGCGAAAATCAGCAGCACAAAACACACGAGGAAAAAGAGAGGAATGGTGGTGGTGGTGGTGGTGGGGGGGGGGGATGGTGGAGTTGGTGGGGGAGGGATGGGGGGCGGCGGCGGAGATTGCGCGCAAAACGTTTGAAGCCCACGACAGGTAGCGCGGCCGGCTGCGGTGGCCAGCCTGTCTTGACCTTCGTCCTGCTGACCACCGCTCCTCCTCCCACGCGTCCCCGCCGCCGCGCTGCTCGTGGCCTCCTTCTCCGTTCCAGGACTAATAATACAATACTGTCATTTAATTAAGCATCTTTCACATTGTTTTGGTCGCAATCTGCTTCGCTTTAAGTTGTAGACCTCATCATTATAGTGCCCCCTGCACCGAATCAATCAATGCAGTCCGCACCTCCCCCTAGTCTTTTCTCTCCCTTTCTTTCCGTTTTCATCAATACTCAAAAAGTCGATATGACCACGACTCGTTAGTAAATCATTCATCTCTCATCTAATTGAAATTATCCGAAACGACAATGTTTTTTTTTTGTTCTTTGCTCCATGTGATTTAGGATGCGTTTGTTTAGCTAAATATGGTTCCTTGGGATCCGTTTTCCATATTTTCGATTGTTTGGTTACTAAAGATGGATAAAATTTGCGGAGAAAATCATTTATGATCAAGGAAAACGTCCGCGCTCAAAAGTTGGAAAACATTTCTACCTTCTCGAGAGAGGAAATCATTTTCCCCAAGTATCCAATAATAGAATAAAATTCATATTGTCCGTGCATATGCGTGTACAAAGAATCTTCGATCAAGATTTTCTTCTTGTCTATTGTTTTTTTTCTCTTCGTCGCGGAATTCAAACCCAATTTTTGTTTCATTTTTTCTCAAACCAATTTCAAAAATCAACTTCAAATTTTCGCGAAAATAAGACGCTCGGTTAAATTACTGGAATTTATAGGTCTGTTGTAATATACCCAAGTTGTTTGTTGATTAGTTTTTTATCTTTTTTTTTTGTGGGGGATGGGTTTGTTTGACTTTGGGTAGAATATATAGAGAGTTGAGTTCATAGCTTTCTATAACTCACATATTGCTTTTGAGAACCATTTTCCCAAAGCCCCCGAGACTCTAAAGACTCTTGAGCAAATGTAAATATCGTTTGACAAAATTTTTAGAAAATTTTGGGGAAATGCAATTGAATTTTTAAAGGTCTCTAAAGGCCTTTAATCCAAAGCAAGGTAGGAGGTTTTTTGAGTTTTTAGCATTTCCGGAATTCTAGTATATTTTTTTCCTTCTAACTCTACCCTCGCTGAATTTTCATAATTACGGAAATGCGCTTGAATGCCCTCAACTTCGTGACCTCGCCAGTGAAGGACTCAACCACCGGCGAGTTGGCTCACTAGCGACTTGAGTTCCGCTGACAAAGGTTTGCAAATTTAAAAAAAAAAAGTAGCAAAATTATTTACAAAGTGTAATTTTTTCTAACAGCATTTAAGTCAAAATTATTTTCCAATGTAATTTTAAATTACACCCGCAAAACACTATTTGCATTTTGGAAAATTCTTTTACCTAAAGTCTTATACATTTTCCCAAAAGCTTTCCCCAAAACGTAACCACAATTAAATAAAGCACAAAAGTGTTTGTTAAAATGTCAAAACTAGTTATTCTTAGCTTAAAAATTTTATGGTCCAACTTTTCGTTGTCCTCCATTAATTTTTTTTTAAAATTTTTTTAAGTTGCTCCATCTTTTGATGAAAAAAATTGAGAAATCATATGTCAATTGTTATTAGTCTATCATCTGATACTATATATGGGGAAAACTACCTTCATAAATAAGATTCAAATATTGAAAAACGATTTTCATCTCATTTCAAGTTAATCACTGAATAAGAGAAAACTAATCATTTTTACCTGAAATCGATTTTAGTGTAAAACATTTTCCTTAGATATAAAATTTTTCACAAATCAAACACATCCATAGGTGTAGCCACAAACAATCGGTAC